CTGACCTTGTTGGCGCCCTGACCTTAGACTTCCAGCCTCCAGAATTGCAAGAAATAAATGTCTGTAAGCCACCAGTCCATGGTACTTTGTTGTAGAAGCCTGAACAGACTAAGACAGACCCCAACTAAGAAATGTGTTCGCAGGAGGGAGCTATCTGCTGTCTCACAGTGGCTGTCACTTTGTAGATGTAGATCACATGACCAGAAGGGACTCTGCTTGTGTTTTTCCATGTCCGCTACATGTTAGTGAGATGCCAGGCATAGTGCTAAGTGTCTTACACATGTAAGAGCCTTTTGTCAAGGCCTAGAGGAGAGATCTCAGATAGCAAAGCAGATTCCAGCCCAAGCCAACACTCTGGGGAGGGAGCGAGTGGAGAACCAGTGAGAAGCACTGAAAGCCTGTCCACAGAGAAAAAGATCAGGGGCTGGAGAGAGCTTGCAAAGGGTTGTGGAAAGAGCTACTCATGTGCTGTGAGCCCCACCCCCACAGAAGAAGGAGGAGGGTGGGGTGCCTGCTTCTCAACTCACTCCCAGGAAAAGTGGGTTCCGTGGGTCCCTTGGAATGCCTGACGTGTGCCTTTGGTGCTTGAGGACCCAGGAGACTGGTGTCTATTCCAGCCTGGAAAATCAAAAGCATGAGCAGCAAGCTGGCTGGGGCTCTGGCTGCAGAGCAAGGAGAGCAGCTGCTGCCTCATATTCTAGGGGAAATGAGGCCTAAACGCCTCCAATAAGCCAGGTGTAGGGCTCTGGAGGCAAAGACTGCATAAGTTCATCCTAGGACCTGTCCAACAGGGGGGCACTGGGGGGGCAAACACTGCAGCAGAGGGAAGCTGGGCACCGTCAGGAAGGACCAGGCACCACCCAGAGGGAATCATTCACCCTACTTGGGAGAGCTGCACGGGGGGTTCCCAAGATACAGGGTCTCCAATGGACCAGGAAGGACCCCCAGAGTCCTCCCAGGCTGGAGAGCCCATGCCCTGTCCCAGGTGGCATCCATGTCAGGTGTGGCCCTTCCCCCAGCTCCCTTACCTCTCCTCCATGGCCCCCATTTCCTCCTGGAGGGGCCAGAAGCCCCAGGTGGCAAGAGGGGTAGGAGTAGAAGAGCTAGAGGGAGAGACATGGCCACCCCTAGCCCCCCAGTGGCGGGCCTCCTGCCCGCTGCAGCCACTGGGCAAGCCACCACTCCTCGCCCAGTCTACAAAACTGGAACTGGGGTGATCATCTGCATTACAAAAGGCTTTTTCATTTAACCCAAAGGATTCCCCTTGGAAGAAATCTCAGTTTTCCTTTAAAGACAAACCTCTGGAGCATTTTCATGGGGATTATCAAGGTTTTGCATAGCTCCGTCTTATCACCCTACCCGAGGAATGAACCTCTGTGAGCAGATACTGTGCTGTATTCTCCTTCAGTCCCCTCCATGGGACCTGATCACCAAGAGACATTTAAAGATTGGTGACTAATACACACTTTTCAGGGACACACTGGTTGTATAAAGTGAGGTACAGCCATAAGCGAGATCAACGCGCTGCGTTTTCAGATTGCTCCAGCTGAATAAATAGACAAACCATCCTCAGCCTTTTTTCTCCCTGCAGTTCCAAGCAGTAGGTGGTACTAATAAAAATACCACCTCGGGTTTGTATAGCACTTTACAGTTTCACAGCCACTCTCTGAACCCAGCGTCACTCTCCACTCCCACGCTCGTCCCATTTCCTCCCACGCCCCTGCTTTTCCTGCCGGCCAGCCCCGTGCCAGCTCCGCCAGGGCCAGGCCGCGTGCTTCCCCCGGGGAGTCCACGTGTGGCGTGGAGAGTGTCCTCATAAAGAGTCAGGCGGCCAGAAATGTGGGCAGAGAGCAAAGGGCAGCTTGTTCAGGTTCTGTTTATTATGTTCTCACAGCCTTGTTGATAGTAAAGGTGAATGACATTATTCCACTTTACACGGTAATGACACAACTCAATGAGGACTCCATCAGCCAAGCGGTGTATATGGCGGATGAGCTGCTACACATCTGTCGTGCTCGCCGCGTGACTCAGCTAATGCTACCGTGGTTGGGGCGCACACCGCGCCCAGCCACCTTTCCGCACCTGGCAGGGGGGTGGGGAGCTGGAGGAGCAGAAGGAGCTAGAATCAAGAAAAGAACAGTTTATGGAGAGGACCAGACCCCAACCTAGGAAGGCCCATGGCCCCTCCTGAAGTCTCCCATCTTGGTCCGCAGCATCTTGTAGAGTCCTAAGGGGCCACTGGGGCAGGAAGACATCTCTGCTCTTGGCTTCTTCCTCCACAGTCTCACGCCAAGTGGCACGGTGGCACAGGCTCTCAGTGCCAGGAGCAGCCTTGTCACCTCTGGTGTTTCTAACCTGGAGGGCTGCAGATTAGACTGAAGGAGGGCTGAGGGTGGAAAACTGTAATTGCTCTGCCTGGCTTGGAAAGGGGCACAGACAGGGCCGGGAGAACTCCGGGCGCTCTCGCTTAGGGGAGACCTCCTGCCTCTGCACAGGCCTCTCCCCCCTTCCCCTCGGGCCTTGGAGAAGCAGATACCACCTTAGCAGGTGGTCTCTCCTGCCCATTCCTTCCCCTCCTGTCTTCCCCTTCCCACTCTGCCCCAGCGCTCAGCGGAACAGGTCCACCCCTCCCTACGGCAGAGCCGGCTTCCCCGCCTCGCCCTGCCAGGCAGTGCCCGGGCCTGCGCCCGGAGGCTGGGCCCGCAGCCCGCACAGAACACCTCTCACAGCTTTGGTTTGTTCAGAGCAGCGAGTTCTGCGGAGAGCACCGGAGAGTGAAACCAATTAGGAGCTTCCCAGCAGCCCACCCCGCCTGGGACCAAAGAGGGAATGGTAAGGGCTTGGAGCAGGGGCCAAAACCCCATGGTGGCCTTGGAGAGGCCACACAGATTTTGATATCCCCAGGATGTGATGCCCTCCACTGAGAAATTTGGAAGTTGCTATGTGACTTACTATTATCGCTACCACGACACTCTTCAGTTCCCACTACCTGGTCGCATGGCCTTGGGTACAGAGGCGCACACAGCCTAACACGAATGGCCAGACACAAGAGCGCATGAAAACAAACAGGGGGCAGCCTGGGAGGCGAGCTTGGAGCAAGCAAGACTCAGAAGCACGGCAAAGCGTCTCTTGATCACGGGCCCCTTCAACTCCTGCCTGTGGGTACCTGCTGCCAAACAATGCGTATAGCTCGGGCCAAAACCCTTGACTCTCTAAGGAGCAAGTCAGACCGCGAGCGCAGAGGCGGCGTCCTGAGGGCCCTACTCCAGGGCCGTGGGTGCCTGGTATTGTGCTTGTTTGCGCTGGACGGCTCTGGCCCCTCGGCCCTCACAGCGGTGTCCCCCCGCGGCTGTGTCCCCACTCCTCAGGCCTGCGCTCCCCAAGCTCCTCTGCGCGTTGGAATCACCTGGGGAGCTTTAAAACTACCGTCGCCCCGTCCCTACCAAAGAGCTTCTGGCGCAGCTGTTTAGGGCGAGACCTGGACATTTGGGTTTTTAAACTCCCCAGGTGGTTCTAATGAGCGTTGAGAGCCACCATCTTAGACCTTCTTTCTTCAAAGTCCCCAGGCCACTGCCCACCTGGGAGCTCATCCAAAATGCAGATTTCTGGTCCCTGCCCCAGGTGCATCAGAGCGCCATCTCTGGGCGTGGACCTGCACTCACAGCGGCCTCTCCCTCTCCGGGTCAGCCCTGCGCATGCTCAGGCTGAATAGGCAACACGGCCTCCGGGGGTCCTTCCTCGGCCCGGGCGCCCGAGGCTGTGCGCGGGATCCTGACCGTGCTGTTTTGTTCGCCAAGGGCAACATCGAATCTCCCACCAACCCACAGGGGTTAGCGGTGTGTGGGGGGGGGGACTCAGGGACGAAGAGCATTTCTATGTCACAGCTGTTCCCGACCTGCTGCCCCGACTTGCCGCGACCCGCACGGGCCCCAGGACCAGAGCGAGTCCCGGGCGCACGGAGCAGGGCGGCGAATGGAGGTGGCGCGAGCGGCTGGCAGCCCAGCGAGGCGGACGGCGTGCGGGAGAGGACGCGGGGGACGGGGCGGGCCGGGAGACAGGGAAGGCCGGGGATGAGGTATACTTGGATATTGCTCTAGATGTTGTAAACATTTCTTTGTTTTATCACAGACCAGAATCTGGGTTGGCGTGACCAAAGCGCCTCAAGCAGGGAGCTCCGCGCCTCTCGCGGGAAGCGGGGCGTCGCAGGCGGGAGGAAGGCCACCCCACGGGACGGTCACGTCTGCGGTGCACTAGTCTGACGCTCACGACTGTCACGCACGCACGCACACGCGGAGACGCTCCACGGGGGCACCACATTTAGCTGCACGTTCATCCGCACACGGACGCACGCCCACGCGCCCTGGCTGAGCTGCGACCTGCAGGACGCCCAAGCCCGGTCCTCCGTGGGAGGAAGTCGCCAGGGCGCCCTGTCGCCGCCATCCGCAGCCTGTTCCACCAGTAGTTGGCCAGGACTCCGGGCCCCAAATGAGGCCACCGCACCACACGCCTGTTCGGACTTTTCTCCTCGGGAGAGCGGAAGTGGTGAAAAGGCCCCTCCTCTTAGGATGTCGCACGCTCCCGTGACTCTGCAGTTCCGATGCACACGCACCTGGTGTTCGACAGTAGAGTTGGCAGCAGATGCACATTTCGTATGTAAACAATGTTTAAAATACCCTGTTAGAGAATTTAATCATTAAAGTAACTCTGGCAGCTTTAGCTAAAAAGGGTTTGTTGTTGTTTCTTTTCTTTTTACCAAGGTCAGGGGAAGACTACCTGCTCTAACTATGAACGCCCCGTTGAGGCTTCGGAGTTTTTGAGTGACATTCCACAGGTCCCTTCAGCGCGAGGCTAGGAGGCACGGGTTCTCTGTCCTTGCGGTTCACACAGTCACGCCAAGCCTCGCTCCCAGGTGACGTGGCTGTGGCAGGGCAGTGGGCCCTAACGCTAGTGGGCTCCAGGGCCTTGTTGGCCTTTTCTAGCTGTAGCCAAGGAAGAAAGAGATTCTTACAGTTACTGGACAGGAATGCAAGCACTGGAACGCCAGTATAATCTTGAGAGGTCCATCACCCCACAAAAGGAGGGTGCTTCAGCCCAGTTCTCAATCACCTGCACTCCAGAGTTCATGCCTAATCACTTGCTGTTTCAGATATTCAAGCTGAAACTTTTGTAGATCTGCAATAAGTCCAAATCCATTGGTCGTGAATTATCTCAATAGTACCTCCACCATGTTCTCTGTGATTCAGTCCACCTGGAGACCAGCCTCTTCCACTTTCTGGTCTCTCTTGTGAAGATTCAGCTCCTTGGCATTGCTCTTATGCAAAAGTCAGCTTTTTCCTGGGTAGCTAGAGTAGGTTCCAGGCAGCTCAATCATCCTCCAAAGAAGAGTGGCCCGACACATTTCCAAGAGCAGCCCCAGGGAATCACAAAAGCATTTTAGGAAGGTTCTCTACAGCCACATGTTCACAGTGATCTTCTTAGCCACACTTGCTATTTCATGCTCAATTCCAAAAGGTCGATGATCAAGACCAAAGCTGCTTTGTGATAACTAAGAGAGGGACCTTTCTAAGAAAGCATGTTCCCAGGAAGCAAGCTGGAAAGAGAGTTTCAGCCCAAGTTCCCATTCTCCCCCATCATGATAACATGACCTGCATGGAAGGGAGGAGGTGGGAAGACAGGGAAAGTGTTAGGCACCGTGACAGCTGTCCATGCTATGGGGATTCACCTCCCTTTGCCAAGCTGTCTGTCATCCTAAGAGAGCAATGACATATGATGCCACAGGGAGGTGAGGGCAGAGAAGACGTTGAGCAACAGACAGGTTACACAGGGCCCCATTGCACAAAAGTCTACTGGTGCTACATTCCCTGGTCATTTGACTTCTGGAAGAGTTCTGGGTAGAATTGAGGAAGATTTGCAAGCCGTATCTTTCTTAGTGGCAGCTCCACTTCAGAAGTCATGAAGGACATCTCCCAAGACCCTTGCTGGAAATGTAAGGATAGGGGAGTCTTGTGAATTTCCTAGGCCAAGATGGACAAGGGCCATGGCTTTTCACACTGGTCCAATGGAAATGGGAGAAACAGCCAACTCCATGGAGTTCACCCCTCTCCCAAAAGTCACCTGTCAATGACAGTGCCAGAACCCTGGGATTCTACAGAGACCTCTCTCCTAAGCCGTGAGGTCCCAGCACATGTGAGTGGCCATTATGTTGTGACAGTAAATCACAAATGTGAGCCAGTCTTCCAGCTGTTCCTCCCAGGCATATAGAACGAGTGGAGAGTTAGGAACCCTAACTGAGGAGGGGGTGGAGGGTGTGCAAATGGCATTTGCATTATTTACAGGTTAGCCTAGCTCAGCAGATCTGCCTTCTCGGTGGAGATGACCCAAGGCATTATGAAGGGCAAGTTGCTGACCCAGGGAAGGGTAACAGCAGCATGGTGCTACCACTAACCAAAACACAGACATGGTACATGGAATAGAGTCCGAGCTCCAGCAGCTGGGTCATGCTTTGGCATGGCCCTTCCTTTCCTCCTCACCCCCAGCCTCCCGCCCCAAACGCCACCGCTTTTGAACACCTATGACATTTCACATTAGAGTATGGTCTTGGCATCAAGGGGAGGGGAAAGCCAGTGATTTCCATGAGTCCCCATCTGAGGTCTAACTGAGCCTCCTCTGGCTTTGGGACAGCAAATCTAAGTACATTTTGGACCTCAGGAACCTGGGGTAAGAGTCTTTCTCCATGAGGCTGTGTACTTTTCCCTGGGCTTGGTCAAAGCAAGTCAGGGATGGCTCCTGCATGTTCTTCCTCGTGGCTTCTCGGGTCTGAAAGTCGATGTTTACCTGGAGACACAAACAGAGAGCAAGGTCACGGGCCCCCAAGGGCCAAGGCACCCGCCAGCAGACCCCAGCTGTGTAATAAATAATAATGACAGCATCTTATATCTTTCAGATGATTTGTGCTTTTCAAACAGCTTTCATGGAAGTCATCTCTTTTCATCACAGAAAGAACCCCGTGGGATCTGAAGACCAGATATTCTCAGTCCCAATTTACAGATAAGAACACTGGAAAAAAGAGAAACTAAGAAGCTTATCAAAAGAGTATGGGACGTTGGTAAGAGAGCCAAGGCAACATCTCAAATTCCTTGAACCCTAATCCAGGGACCTTCACAATGTCAAGCAAAGAAAGGGTTAGGCTCAAACCAAGTGTTAATGTAGATTTCCCAAAGTAAGCTTTCCCCTTTTGTTCTTTCTTAACTGCCTAGGAAACAAATGCCGGGTGGAGAGAGCCCCTGGTTAGAATGTGTGTCTCTGTTCCAAGCAGCATGATAAGGGGCCTATAGCATTCTAGTCAACTGGTAAATACCTCATGCATTCAAGTCAAAGCATAATTGAAGAGCTCTAGGAATACAATGCACCTAAACCTGTAGACAGCTGATATTTTTCTTCAATCAAACCCTCCCCAGTAAAATTTTGTATGACTCAGAAGAGCAACACAATACAAATTCATCCTATTATAAATAATTATAATAAAATAATACCAATAACTGTAATTACTCATTAATGAGCAGTGGCATTTATTGAATGGGTGGTTTATCCCTAATACTCTGAAGGGTAAGTGATATTATACTCTTTTACATTGAGGCACAGGAGACTCAGAGAGGTTAAGTAACTTGACCACGATCACACAGCTAGTAAGTGGTAGTGCTGAAATTGGAACAAGGCTCCAAAGCAGATCTGCATTCCATTAAGCTATGCTGTCTTCTGCTAGAAAAATGGACATGGACTCAGGGGCATTTATTCTTGCAAAATCCCTGTGGCAACATAGTTCCTGCTAGCGCATGTTCAACTGACAGCTAAAACACTATTCAGAGAGCTCAATGGATAGAAGCTTTGGGCTTCTTCTTAAAAATGATCCTTTTCATCAGAAGCCACTGGAGTAGTGAGGCTCAGTTCAGTGCAAGAAGGTCCTCATCAAGCCTGTCTCAAACCCCCTTGGAGGAGAGACGTGAGCCCGGAGCCATGGGCGGAAGCCTGCCAGGGTGGCCGCCACTGCAAACACACCTCCCGCGGAGCCTGCACGTCCACAAACTCCTCAAAGATCCTATGGGCCTTGGAGACCAGTTTGGCAGTTGACCTGGTCTTCTTGAACTCCTCACAGGCCAGCCAGAACTCCAGGTTCTCCTCGCTGAACTCCGTCTTCAGGAAGGCGCGGAAGGCAGCCACCCCATCTGTGCACGCGGGAGGAGGCGGGAAAGAAGAGAGACAGGAAGTAGCTTAGGGTTGAGAACAGTAGAAGAAAGAAAGAAAAGTCGTGACAATGTGAGGGGGCCCTAACTGCCCAAGCCTGCTGATCCTCCTCCCCCTTTTGAAGGCTCTGTTCTCTTAGACACACAGGTACCCTCAGAGGAGAAAACCATGTTTCTTGTTCAAGGATTATAGTGATATTAGACAGCAATGTTTAAGAAGCCATAGCATTAATGTTTAGGGCAGAGTTGGCTGTCCCCTGGGTCTACTGGTGAGTCTGTGTTGCTAATTAGGCCAAGATAATGCATGCAATTTATTCCCTACCCTAATCCAAGTCAGCCACCCTGAGAAAACACACAATCTGTTACAAGATGAACTAGAGAGGGGTGTGAATGCCTCAGGGCAAATCCTTTACTGCCTGAAAGCAAATACCCCACCAAAATTCAGTCAGTACAGTCATTTTGTTACATGAATAGGATTTCCAGTCTCTAAAAAACCTGCAAGGTGCTATATTTTAATGTTTTATCCCATGCATTCTTTATTTTAAAATATCTTGCCTATCAAATTATGTGTTTTGATCAAGATTGATGACACTTTTTCTACCCAGGGATTTAACAAATTAATACACTCTTTCATTTTTATAAATCAAGGTCATACATATTGCCAAGAAAAGCTACCAATCAATATAAAATGAGGAGGGTTACCACACCGACTTGGAAAAGGAAATCACATTAATTGTTAGCCTATGCATCCAGTTAATGCTTTTATTTTTTTAATATTTTTAATAAAAAATACTTTAACTTTAAAATACTCTCCTCTAGTTGAATAACAATTATAGCTTTCTATAAACTGTCAGGGCACATACAACCTAGCATAAAGAAGTGCTCCACTGGTTATAAAGGACTCTGGCAATATTATTCCTTGTCTAAAATTTACTAGAAAGACAAATTGTTAACAGTGCTTAATCCCAGATGATGAGATGGCCTGGGCATCTGATGTCCACCAATACACAGAACAGTCCGCCACGGATTGCTGCCGCCCTGCTGTTTATGTATTTCAAGGCTTATTTTTAGTTTTCTGAAATGTTTTTATTTCTCCTAGTAAAAAACTCATGTGTACCTTTGTCTTTCAAAACAGACATTTTATTGTCTACCCTAGTACAATAGTCATGAAAGCCAAGACTTTTAATTGTAAGAGCCGGGAACTTGTGAGAGAGAAAGGTTTTCATGGAACTCCCCAAACTAAGCTTTAAATCACAAAGAGATTTCCTTTTGGAAGCCTGGGCTTGAAATGTTTTTAAAGAGGAGGATGGCCATGGAATTTGCCATCCAAGCCAGGACATTTTTGAGGAGGAAGGGGGCACTGCTGTTAATTATGCAGGGACGATAGGCATAAACCAGGACCACCACAGTCAAAACCTGGGACATGTGATCACCTTGATTCTAAGCCATGGAGTATGGAGAAAGCAGAATGTAATATTAGGTTACTTCCCACCAGGCAAGATGGAAATAAAATCATTCCTGTACTAGGGGTCAGGGAAGAAGAGAGTGTCATAGGTTAGACTCAGTGAGAGGTCTTCTCGGGGTACTGCTCACCCCCATTCCTATATTGGATTCAAAACTCTACGAGAAGGGCATAGAAACCCAAAATAAATTGAGAATCAAAATGAGCATAAAACTATGACGTGGCACTGTTGGGCAGAAATGGCGTGAGAATAGTTCATTCAATTCAATGATGTTTTTTAAACAACTACTAATGTAAAACGTACAGATGCTCCTCAACTTACAATGGAGTTATGTCCTGATAAACCCATCCTAAGTTGAAAACATCATTAATTTGAAAATGCATTTAATACACCTAACCTACTGAACATCATGGCTCAGCCTAGCCTACGTTAGACATCCTCAGAATACTGTTGGTACAATATTCAATAAATTACATAAGATATTCAACACTTTATTATAAAATAAGCTTTATGTTAGATTATTTGGCCTAGCATCATGAAAGAATATTGTACCACATGTTGCTAGCCTGGGAAAAGATCCAAATTCAAAATTCGAAGTGCAGTTTCTACTGAATGCGTATGATGTTCATATCATCATACAGTCAAAAAAATCATAAGTTGAACCATAGTAAGTCAGGGACTGTCTGTACTTTTCAAGGTTTGGGGATACATTGGAGAACAAATCATAAAATCCTTGCCCATTAACTCTCTCATGGATATTCTCTTTGCCACCTACCCCCCCACGCTGTCCCCTCAAAGTTCTCCATGGAGGAAATCCAGAAGTCTTCAGAGGCTCCAGAGGGAACTTGCACTAAAAAGCTGGCATGTCTGCTTGCAGAAGGGGCCCAGGGCGAGGGCCACAGGCAGGGGTTGGATGGAAAAGCAGCTGAAACTGTGGCAGCCTCAATGCCCTTGTAGGAAAGACCCAGGGACCCTGAGAACCGAGGAGGGGCTGGTTGAGCAAGAGGGAACTCTGAGCAGGGACTAGTCCACAAGTTGCACTGTCAGTGCACAGAGAGGACCTGAGCACTCAGCCCCGAGGTCCTTTCCTGCTGGCCCCGTCTTAACACACTTTCTACTGTAGTCTGGGGGTAGGAAGGAAAGGGGAGCAAGGAGGACCCTGAAAGGCTGTGCATTCATCCAAAAGATTAACTAGGAAGTGACTTAGAACAGTAACTCAGAAAAGCCTGTTGTTGTTTTTAAATCAGAAAAGACCAGATTCTTTGAATGGGAAAGTTTAAGTTTGTGGTTTGTGTTGAATTTTGTTTAGTTTTTAACCAAACGAAAACAGGTGTTTGTGAACAAGTTCAATGTGGTCAAGGTGTGAAAAGAAAATTACCTTTCTGCCTTCCTTGATGGTATTGGTAAAGATAACTTTGCCAAGAGAACTCTGTGTCTCTTGCTAGACAAGATACAGACATTATCTCTTTTAGTCCAGGTCTTTGTTAGGTCCAGCTTTGTTGGGTCTTTGTGTGGATTCAAAGAGATCACACCTGCCAAGTGCTTTCAGGAGTGTTGCTTTGCTTAATCCCATTTTATAGATGAGAAAACTGATGCTAAGAAAAGTGGCTTGCCTGATCTCACCCACCCAATCATATGTAGCATTAAAAACTTACTATAAAGTATACTAACTCCCAATCCAACATAGCAATAATGCCATCTTCATTCATTCATTCACCCATTATGTGACCCAGGCTTTGCTACATGCTAAAAGCAGGCATGATTGCAGTCTACAAAACTTGCTGTCAAAGGGCCAAGAAAACATGCTGGTGATCATGGTGCAGTGTGATAAATTCTACGGTAGGGAAATTATAGGGTGTGATAGAAGGACCCAGAAGGGCGCCCAAGCCAACCCTGAAGAGGGCAGGGAAGACCTATAGGAGGAAGAGGCTGTTAAGCTGAGATGGGACGGTGAGGCAGAGGAAGCAAAGCAAAACAAGGAAGGAGAAAAATGGAGAAGAGAATTTCAGGAAGAGGGAACCATACGTGAGAATCGAAAAAGTTTACTTGAGTAATTAAAAATAGTGTAGTGAGACTAGTGTTTCATAATAACACCGCTAATAATTATTAGGCCATTGGGCATACATTGAGAGGCCGGGAAGGGCCAGAGAGACAGCACTACAGAAGGCCAGAGAGAGGACACTGCAAGGAAGAAGTGGCCACTGAGCCTGGTGATGCCCAGAGGTCAAGCTGGGTACAGTCTGAGAAGGGCCGCTAGACTCAGCAATCAGGGGCAGGGACGGTTTTAGTGGCGTGCCGGGGGCCCTCGTCACAGCGTGATAGATATGGTGGCAGATGAAAGGGGAGGAAGTGGAAGCAGTTCATTCAGGGGGCTCTTGTAAGAAATTTGGTAGAGAAGGAAGGAAAGAGATCAGACAGCAGAGTTGGAAGGAAACATAAGGTCAAGAAAGAAACTGTTTTTGGGGTTTTTTTTATGACAGCCTTGAGTATGTTTAAATGTTGATCTGATCAGAAAAGACCTGTGGAGCAAGAGGAGTTGAACTTAAAGGAAAGAAAGAGTCTAATTAACAAAATGTTGCCCCTAGGAAGGCAGAAGAAATAGGCCTGGGAACGGAATCACGATGGGGAACAAGAAGAGAGGCTGCGTGCGAATGCAGGGAAGTTTCTAGTTTGAGGCAGGAAATGGAAGGAGTCCCTGTGTGATATTAGCTGGAGAAGGTGGCAGAACTTGGGAAGGTAGAGTTTTATTTTTACTTATTTTGGGGCAGGGAATTTTACTTATGTACTATATGCCATGATTTTTGCTCAGGATTTTACAAAACACCAGCTCAATTTATTTTCACAGCCATGCCGATCCGCAGACAGTATCATTCCCATTTTCCACAAGAAGAAAATAAAGCTTAGAGAAGTTGAATAAATTGCCCGATTACACAGCTGGCAAGAGTAGAGCCACGATTCCCAGCCAGGTCCACATGACTCCAAAGCAAGATCCAGGCAGAGGGGAAAGGGCCGGGGAAAGGGGAGATTAATGAGGCAAAGGAATAGTATTTGGTGAAGGCAAATTTCAGAGAATGAGAAGGGCCAGGAAGAAGGGTAAGACTTTGTCTTCTTTAAAAGACAAAGGTAAGAATAAAAGAGAGCAGTAGATGAAGACAGAAATGGCCAGGAAAGGGACGTCCCTGAGATGCATCAAGTTGGACTGCCTTGAGTAATCTGGGCCGAGGTCACTGTGGACGTGGGCTGTACCCATGGGCTAGGTTTTGGGGTTATGGCACGACAGATCAGATCAAGTCACCACCTCACAGAACTTACGGGCTAGTCTAGTGTGCCAGACGTTAGTGAAAATTTAAAATAGTTGAGTCGTTACAGGTGCAGTGTGTGCCACAGCGGGGACGCGTGGTCAAGGTTGGAACAGCTGTCTTAGAAAAATGACGGACATGAACTTGATGGGAAACAGGCCAACAATGGGCTTCGGTTCCTGGAGAGGGTTCTGGTGCAAGGAGAAGGGAGCACGAACCT